CAGGCTGCTATAGGAGCTGCTGCTGAGGGTCTGCCTCACGGGGGAAAAACCAGCACTGTCTTCTACTGGGTGCACTTGGAGGAGACTGAGTGACTGCCAGGTTACTCTCACCAGGAGTTGCCCCCAGTCTCAGCGCTGGAGGGACATTCAGGGCCACTTAGTGAGTACCAAACACTGGAAGTCCAAAAGAGTGAGGCTCTAAGCAGGTCCCTTTACAACTGCCAGGCTGATTAATTTTATGGAGATAGAACCGAAAAGCTGAGATAAAGGCTGAGTTCGAGTCTGAGAGCACACAAGCACTGTGTGGGCCTTTAGGACAACGTCTAGCAAATGTTCTTGGCACTTCACAGTGCTCTGTTCTCTGCAAAACAGCTGCTAGTTGTGGGACACCACAATTAATTCAGCAATTTGTTGATTTTAAAGACCTGATTTCCCATTATCTCCTACCAACAAACAAGCTGGTGGATCCTGAGCTGCTTTCAAACATTTTGGCTGAATTGAGCTTAACTAACTTCTCCCTGGTGAGAAATCTGAAGACGATACAGAGGCTGAACTCTTCTTCCCTCAAAAACCTGTTCCACTAGGTCAGGGTTGGAATGTTTTGCCAGGACATGGCAGAGTGTTACAGGGAAACCATCAGGTGTTCAGGCTGCACCTGCTTTCTGGGGACATGCCCTTCTTCAGCCTCATGTTTTCATCACCACCATATCCATTCCAGAAAAATGTATTTATCCCAATAGAATAATGTCAACAGCCATTTTGTTCTTCCACTGTAGAGCCCCCACAAAAACTCCCACGGACACTAGAAATAGCTCTGGTATCTATTTTTAAATCGTTTCTTTGCCAACAGAAATTATTTCAGTGAAGGGTCAACAGGGTTTGGAGATCACGCCAAAACCAAACCATATAAGGGGTCCAACGTGATGAGAAACCTTATCACCCAGTGACAGCCCTGAAGCCTCTCTGAGCATTTTGTGTAGATGTCCTGACTGTCAGTGTCCCACTGAAGCTCTCCTAAAGCTGTTCATGGCAGCAGAAATGCCCACAGCAACATGGTAGCAGCGTTATCCATCACGTCCTGGCCTAACTCTTAGTCCAGTATTTCTGTTTTGTGTAAATCCTTTTTACTGTTTCCTGCGGAAACAAAATCTGTCTCCTGCCTATCTTGCCTACCGTGGTTTTGACACCAGTGTTCCCAATTAAGTCAGACGACTATTTTGGCACGGGCAGAGGCATGGGTGAGCCATCGGATGCTCAGACCTGCCACGTGTCATTGCCCACCACCGGTGACGCACCAAAGGACACTCAAGGCAGGCTGCAACCTTCCTAGTGCAGTGAAAAGCTGACCTGATGTCTCCTGGAGGTATTCTCTGCCATCAACAAGTATTTTATTCACCTTCTAAGCTCTGGTCTGTACCTTGGAAAGGCCAACTATATATTACTGTATGTCCACAGTAAATCAAATTCTAGCCTTTGTATGACTGTACTATGGACAATAAAATGGGATCCCACCCATATGAAACCTCTGAATGTTCTTGGAATACAAATGAATTATGATAAGAATAACAAATAATAACAAAAGCCCTTTCTCAAGGGCTTATCTGATTGCAAAAACAACTTGGAAAAACGGAGTTAAAGATATTAAAATATCTTTAACAGAAAGAAAATATTATATTTCAAACACGAGATACAAATCTGCTATCAGATGCTAGAACAATGTATGAACTGGGCTGTTCTACAACCGCTTGCCACTCTCGATTTGCTTATTCCTGACATGTTTACAGGATTTATGAAAAGCTCTGTGCTGTTTCAGATGGTAGGGCTCACCCTTTCTTTTTCTCGCTCTCCCTACATGCATATGCCTGATGGCAACCCCCCCACCCTGACAGGCACAGGGATGGAATTTGGGAAAGAGCAGAAGTTTTGAATTACACAGATTATTGTGCAAAGCACAGGAAATTAAAACCAATTAATTCCTTGTAAATACAAACGCAGCCAGACTTTCTTTTGATTTATTCTGACTTTTTACCTTCCCCCAATGGCTTATTTCCCTATTTTGCCATGGAATCCTGCACGGTCGAGAGTGAAATTCGCGGCTACTACACTGTAATACAATATGAAAGACAAATGTTTGGTGACTGCTGATAAAAGAGAAAAGGCCCCATGGTGCATTCTTTTAGCCAACTTATTAGGAGTCTTATAAAACACTGTATCTGTTCAGAGAGAGGAAGTTAATCACTGCTCAGGTTCAAGACTGTGTAAGCAAAGTAGTCTAAGAGATGAACTGACTTATAATGTGCTCTCAAAGCTGCAGTTACTCCCCAGATAATCCAGGTAGGAGGAGAAAAGAGAGAGGAGAGCAAGAGAGACTTTTTTTTCTCTCTTTTTCCTTCCACTGTAATGAAAATCAATGAATATTCTATTGGAGCTGAAAGAGCTTCTTGAAAGGCTAAGACGATGGAAAAGGATAGCAGAGGTTCCAGCTAAAAATATTCAAAATGCTAAATAAAAAATGTCAGTAGAAGAAATGATAAGAAAAACAAGCCAGGCCTCTGCTCCCAGAATGTTAAGTTGGTAGAAAAAACCCTGCACTGGTGAAGTCCAGCAGCAAGGCAAAACTATTGAGCATCCTTCACAATTTGGGGCTTGGAAATTACATCAAATTCATTAGGAATTTGCACCAAAACGTCAGAGATCTCCAGGCACTCCAGCCCATGCTGTCACTGCCGTACACAACCAAAGCCTTATCCCAAGAGATGCAGGATTTCCCGTGGAGTGGGCTTCCTCCCACTGCCATTCAGGAAAACTCACCCCGCAAAACAGAGGGCTGCAGGTTGTAAGAAGAAATTCCCTGGAGAATAGGCTTCCTGCGAGGCAGGAGCAAGGGCAGAGGGTAAGGGCAAGGTTTGGCATGCCCTGCAGATTTGCAGGAGTTCACGGTGTTTTACCCAGGATGATGTGACCAAACTCCTTCCTCGTCATTTCACCTGGCATCCCTTTATACTTTCACTGAGCCCCGGCACTTGGGATCACAGGATAATGCAGGCTGGAGGGGATCCCAGGAGGTGTCCCAGACCACTGAGCTTACTCAAGAACTGAGTCTGACCAAAGATCCACCTACCTCAGTGCTGCAACTCTTGCTGGAGCAAACAGCAAAAGCTTAGAAGAGAAACTAAGAAAAAGGCAAGTTAGGAGGGCGCTTTTTCCCTATTTTGGTTTCACAGATTCAGGAGAGATGCTGAGATGCTGCTCATGCCACAGCCCAGTGTTTTCACTGGACCTTAATTCTTCCTGTTTAGAGAAGTTCTGCTGGCCTCAGACTTTCCCCCCCGTTTGATAAGCATCATCTTGACATGTTGGAACCACAGGACATCAGATGTGAAGAATGGATGTATTACCCAAGTCAGTTTGAGCGTACAGCTAGCACTAAGCAAGAAAGAGAGCAACTGAGCCTAACAAAACAGTGCATAAAGTAAACTGAAATTTCATGAAAAGGGAAGAAAAGAAAAATAACAATTGCCACAGCTGTGGCCTGAGGGGTATCTTCTCTCTTTGGATCTTTTGTAAAACATTTCTGGTGCCAGTCTTTGAAAACCATGAAGCAAAGCTTATTGGTTCTATTCCAGATGACTTGTGAAGGAGAGAGACTTTTAATCATATCTGAAAGCTCCTTCGGGGCTCTGCATTTTATATAATATATGGTTTATTATGAGGCAGATTGGTTATTTCAACAGCCTTGCTATTTACGCTCAACTGTAGCTTTGGCAGAACTTTTTGCAAGAGTTTGGAGTGTGAGCCCCTGGCCAAATTCCAGCTCCCATGTGGAATTTGTCAGATGGCAAGTGCAATGCATGCTTGCTCCCCTTTAACTTCTGTCCTTCCCAAAGTACCACCCATTTCATCCTAGCTTGGGAAAGCATCTTACTAACAGCTTGGTCCTGAAGCAACAATCTAACAGATTTATTGTGAACATTGCTCATGGGCAGAAGGGAATCCAGAGCCCTCCCAAAGTGTCCCATCCCCGTCCTGCTCCTGGTACAATTTATAAGGGATTCCTCATAACTCTCAGCTGCTTGGAAATCCTGACCTGACAGACAGAAGAACAATTCCAAGTCACTGTGGTAATCAATGCACTTTCATTCAAGTCTGCTGGGTGGATAGATCACGGATACTAACAGGATTAAAAGGGAGAAGAGCATCTCTGAGACACAATTTAATTGTAGGTCCCTGGTCAGCAATAGGAGCGGATCTATGGGCCGGACTCTGGCATTCTACTCAGAAACAATGTTTCTTGTCTTCAAATGGATTCGAGTTTGCCACTTCAGGAAAACTGATTTTTTTTCTTCTGGAGTGAAAAGCTGCTAAAAATATAGCAAGAAACAGCTTACTTACTCTTTTGTGGATAGATGGGACTCAAGCCTCAAAGTATTTCTCTGCTAAATATAAAGGCCTCAAGGACTTGTACGTCATTAGATCAGTTAATCCATTCAGAGATCAAGTAAATACCCACCGAGGCACAAATAATGATGAAAACAAATATTGGCACAGCTGAAATAAGAGAGAATTGGGGAGATTGTCCAGTGGTGAAGAAAGAGAGTGTGTACATTTCTTTCTTCTTATGCAACTGTGCTTTCAAGCACTGATTGCAGAGAGAAAGAGAAAAACTCACCAACACATTTGTTACCTGGATAGCAGTCTCTCCTGATTAAACTCTCTTAGTTCAGTAACTACTTCTCTGTGTAAAATTTAAATTAATTACTTGACAATGTGATTATTAGGATGCTAAGGGCCAAATTACCAGCACTGGGATGTAAGAGGAACATTCACTCACCTAATTCACAAGCCCCGGTGCCCGTTTGCACACGCAAATACAGGTCTCATCCAAACTGGTTCGTTCCGTTACGGCTGGTCTTTGAAATTTGACCATCCAGTTGCAAACGGGCAGCCAAAGACCTTCCCAGTTGTGACTTGATTGCAAACACATTTTCTCTTCCTCCTAGACGTGCCGTTTGGGTTGCAAACAGACCCACAAGTCACAACCATCGTGGGGAACGACGTCCGGCTGACCTGCCGGGCCTCCCGGTACATCTACAGCCACCTGGGCTGGTACCACCCCTCCTCGGAGGCGGCTCTCGGCGACTCCGTCATCAAGAAAACCGACAACTATTCCATTTCTTTGACGCTGGTCATCACTAACGTCACGAAGGAACAGAGTGGCCTCTACAAGTGCAGAGCCCAGAACCTGCACAACAGCACGGACACGCTGGAACAGCACACTCAGCTCCTCGTCAGAGGTAGGTCCTGCCCATGGAAAAGGGCAGCGGGACGTGCTGTCGGTCTGCTGCCAGAGAACAAACGCTGGGCATCTGCTGCTCTCTTTGAAGCCTTTCAAAGCAGAAGGTGCCCAGCATTTCTTAGGGACTATCCTAATATAGACTTTGTGCTCTGGTTTGGTTCTTTTTTCACACTAATGTATGTGGATTGACACCTGGCCATACATATTGCCATACCATGGATTTAAACTGAAAGAGGGGAGATTTAGATTAGATATAAGGAAGAAATTCTTCCCTCTGAGGGTGGTGAGGCACTGGAACAGGTTGCCCAGAGAAGTTGTGGATGCTCCATCCCTGGAAGTATTCAAGGCCAGGTTGGATGAGGCTTTGAGCAACCTGGTGTAGTGGAGGGTGTCCCTGCCCGTGGCAGGGGGTTGGAACTGGATGATCTTTGAGATCCCTTCCAACTCTAACCATTCTATGCTTCTATATTACTCATCCAGCCACTGCTGGTTTTGTATAAAATATTTACCTTACACATAAAGATAATTTCAGCTGCATTTTAGCTTCCCAACTCCATGCTGGGCACAGATAAGAGTGTTGACTGAGGAGAAAAGGCATCACCCACCATGTCACTAACAGCACCACTCTATGGTTTGGGACTGTCACCCCACATCTATGTGACTTTGGTAGAAGACTCCACCCGCTTACAGCTGCCAGGATGATACAGATACCTAAACAAATTTGCACCCAGCAGACGTAATCATAAACATTTCTGGTCAAGTGTATAACCAAGTGACACGTACCATTTATTCTGGGCAAGTGGGATGAGCTTCATTGTAAGAACGGTGTTTTCTTACTTATACCCAACGCCCCAAGTCTTTTATTGCCATAAAAATAGTAACACTACAGATCCTGAAGCCTGTTTTTTTTTTTGGCTATGTGAATATAAAGAGCAGGACACTTCTTCTGGTAGAAACTCACTGAAAATTAGTGAAGTTTTTTCTGCTTCATAATGAAGAAAGTGAGTGATCGGCTCTAAGCCTTCTCAGAAAAAAAAAGTGCTGCTGGAACGGGTGAATTGATTAGCTATCCTCCAATGGTGAAGAAAAACCCAACGCCCAGCAATGGAGTAGAACTGAACTAGAGAGCAGCAAGGCAGCGTGCAGAAGCCAGAGTCCTTCAGAAGCCGAATTAGACGATGATTTTCAAATTGGCTTCTCCGCTTACATTAATGGCTAATGAGACACTGAAGGGACAGCTCTGCTGCCGCGAGCACTTGTCACTTGGGTGAAAACTAGGCCAGGCAGTGCTGCCTTCATCCTTGGTTAAGGGGAAGAGCACACCTCCCACGCGGTCTCCTGCCCCGAGCGGCCAACGCTCCGGGAGCCCCTTCCCCCTCCACGCGGGCACACACACGGGGAGAAACCGCCCACCCACGGCACAGCTGTGGCTGGCACAGCTCTGCCACCTGAGTGGGAGGGCATTTATTTTAAGAAATGGAACGAGCCTGCCTCTTCCTGAAGGGCGGAGGAAGGGAAAGAATCTCCCCCCGGTATTACGGAGCGCTGGTGGTTTGGCTTGTCCCCGCGGCCGGCACCGGAGCCACCTGTCAGCATCATCTGACGTGGAGGCACTGGGCTTCCTCTGCATTCTGCATTCAGGCAACTCATTTTTCTCTCCCCTGGCAGATATTTTTATTCGTTTAGTCAAATTTCCACCTACGCAGACACCTACACATGATGGCTATGGGAAAAACACAGCTAAACTGGGAATACATCCATGGGAGAACTGGAACTTTGATCGCGTTCTTTTGAGAATTACTGGGCTCTGTTATTTGTCTGGCTCGTGTCAGAGAGGCAATTCTCCCGGAGAACACGCGTGGGAATGCCCCTCCAAACCAGCCCTCCTTCCCCTATACAAATAAGGTCTTTTAAATCAGCTACTGTCCTTATTGCAGGTTTTCTGTATTTTTTTATGCTGTGCTTGGGATTTTATTCACTGCTTTCCTGTACCTTTAATAAATGAACATAAGTAGAGGTTAACACCCTTTGTAGTAAGTAGATAACTGCACTCGTTATAGAGGACAACACAAAATCCTTAGAGCTGCTTCCTCTCTGCCTCCTCCTTCCTCTTCTTGCATTCACTCTGCATTTGCTCTACCCACTCCCTGTCCTGTCTTCTTCAGAGGATAAGAAACTCAAGAAGGTTCAAGCTGAAGCTGAATCTAAGCTTAGTCAGTTTGAAAATCAGCCAAAGAAACTCACCCACTCCTCCTATAATTTGCGGGGGGATTTTTGCCACTGCTCATCAACTATATCTGTGCCACTTCCAGCCCAGAGAGGCCATGCAGGTGAGAGGATGGCAGAGCTGAGGGAGGTGCCCTCTGAAACCTCACCCTGTACTGTTTTGCTTTGTGACCGTAGCAAAGGCAGCACCGTACGTGATACAAAACCTCACGGATCTGGAGGTTAACATCAGCGGCAAGATCATTCTGGAGTGCAAGGTCAGCGGAACGCCAGAACCCCAGATTACGTGGAGGAAGAACGGCTACCCCATTTCAGCAGCATCAGGTGAGGGCACCTGCTCCCGAGCGCGCCGCGGTACCGTACGGAACACGGGATAACGGACCCGCAGGTTCACCACAAACATGGGACCTACCACTCCACAGCTGAGTCAGGGTGGTATATGCCACCTCGGAAACACACACACAAAGCCAAACGTATCAGACCATGGCAGGAGTCTCCAGCTCGGACTCTTGAGGTCGAAGCTGCCCACTGGTTGCAAGCCACCTCCTGCTTATGCAGTTTGCCTTCTGCACGTGGCAGCGCTGGTGCCTGCAGAGTCAGGCAGGCAGCCTGCATCCATTAGCATAGCATTAGGAAATCCAGGAGCACAGCGTGCTGCGGCTCGGGCTGCTCGTGCGAGACAACAGTTCGTGTACGAAACCGAGACGGGGCGTACTTGTGTGTCAGGTGGGGCTGAAAACACAAACCTGAGCCATCAGTTATTCTCAGGGCCTGACCAGGATATATTGCAGCAAATTGTGGGCAGTCACCTACCAGCCAGGAGCAGGGCACGCCATGGTGCACTACACATCCTTTCTCCCTCTCCCACAACGTAGCAACGAGGATGTGCTCTCAGCTCAACCGGTGCTCAACTCAGCAGTGCTACCTTGGGCAGGGAGCATGGGCTCCTTCACCTGAGCCTGGAATTCCTTCTCAGCTCTCTATCCTGAGATCTTCTACAAATCATGGAGAATCCCATGTCAGTAGCTGGTCCTGGGGCTTTAATTTTGCATCCTGGACTACGTAGGAAATCTAGGATCATCCATAATTCAGATCAGACTGTTCCGAGAGAAACTCTTTATAGCTACTGAAATTTTATAAATAATTCTAGAGGGACAAGCATGTAACTCATCCAACCAACGGAAACATAAATTAAATATTTGGAAAAAACACCTCAGGGTAAATATTTCAGCAGAGTGCATGGCAAGTTCTGTGCAGTACTCTTGTTAACAACAACAGGATTCACAGGCAGAACACCCAGAAACTCAAAATGTCCTTCCCTTTTGGATTCAAAGTCTGACCTGTTTCCCTGTTTCTGCCAAACATATCCTTAGTGAAACGGATGAGCTCTGAGTTTTGTGCCACAGATTAGGGAAAATTAAATGTGAAAAATTAATGAGGAAAATTAAATGTAGAAAAGCCTCGCATAGGTCATATTCGGGTAACCTCCCTCGTCCCACTCCACCTCTAGTCCCCAGCTGCCTGTGAATCCAGGATTGCTCCACCCGGTGATTTTTCCAGGGATGTGCATAACCTGATTTCCATGTTCCACGTGTTAGATCTCCCATCACATCCCACAGCCTCCGAGACATCAGCTTTCTCCAAAAACTTCTCCGAGTTCTCTTTTTTCCCCAGTGTATCTATTGCTATCAGAAAACCTATCTTCCCTCCACTAACTTCCACTGAAGTTTTCTCAGGCTCTGTCTGCTCATAATAAATTAACAGCCGCGTTTGCTGTTGGTTAAATGATCCCCAAGCAATTTACACAGGTATTGAGGAGAAAAAAAGGTCAGGGAAAGGTTGTTGCCAGACCCCAATGAGCAGCATCGCATTAGAACGCCCCCTGATAGCAGTGCACATCAGGCCTGCAGGGATGGGAGCTGACTTGCAGTCCTCTGTCTCCTCAGAGCATTTGCAAGCAGGTAGGTTATTGCAATAATATTAACCAAAATCCCTTACAACAGGAATTTCCATGGAAAATAATACCCTGGTCATTGAGCGAGTGAAAAAGGACGATGAAGGGCTCTATGAATGCAAAGCATCCAACGACATGGGCCAAGACAGCACATCAGCCTTCATTAGAATACAAGGTGAGTTCAAGGCTAAGGTGAAACACGGATCTTCTGCTGGACTGATGAGACCTATTGTTCAGTCATGGACTTTGGCTACATTTAAAATCTGGTGGTACTTTTAACCTACAGGTTCCGAGGAGAAATCCAACATTGAAGTTATCATTCTGGTCTGCACTGGTCTAGCCGCTACGCTCTTCTGGCTGCTGCTGACCCTATTCATACGGAAACTGAGAAAAGTAAGAGAGCTTCCCTACTGCACAAGGGGTCTGGGATTGGGCCAGTTTATGGGCCAAGTGTTTGGGACAGATGATAGGAAAACTGTGCAAAATGTTCCTATAAAATTTCAGTCCAAGATTTCTGCTCATCGTCCTTTGACTTCTCAAGAGGTCACTTGCACCTGTGAGATTTCTGCTCACTTCCATAGTACCATAAAATCAGGCTACTCCCTCTTTATGAGTCAAACTGGCTTGCAAGATTAGGAAACAGAAAAAAATCCTAAATGCCCTAAAATGAGGGCTTGACTTCAGCACTTATCCAATGAGATTTCTCTAAAACATAGGTATTAAAGGAGGCCCTGCTTTAAGAAAGATCCTAGGATGTCTGCTCTAGAAATGAGCTCAAATCACACAGCTTATTTCGTCTCCAAGTCTTGCTATACTTTCATCTCCCTTTTGTGATTCAAAAGTAAAGTTTCAGTGAAGTTCCAAGGAATTTAGGTCTGGTTTTCCTAAGATAAACAGTAAACAGAAAGGCAACCACAGCTCTCTGTTCTGAAGCTCACCAAACTACAGTTCCAGTAGTGATCCCTAACACTTGAGTATAATTTCCCATCTTATTGCAAAATACAGTGATTAAATTCATGTTTTCCTCCTTGACCTCAGTTAAAGAGAGCTGTGGACAACAGTGAATTTCCAGTTAGGTTTCACACCCGTGCAAGGCTGCTCACAGGACCCACCAAATCACAGTTTCTCACTCGGCAGCATTAGAAGTAGCAGTTTTCACCAGCTTTCAATTTTAAATGGTTCTAATAGCCATGAAGTGGATAACCTTGGAGAATCGAGCCTGCAGAACAGAACACTACGAAAATGCCAAAACGCTCCGTAGTGCACCGGGAAGTGCAACTCACGGACTTCCCATAGCAAAGCACTGATTTCCTAAATAGATACAGGTAGGAGACAGCGACGGATTTCGTGTGCTCGGGGTGTTACCGACGTCACTCGGTGACTCTTCCCAACGGCCATGAGTGGCGGGCATACATAAACATTTATTTGCCAGAGATATAAAAACAGAGGCAGGGAGCTGAAGTGATGCGTCCATGGTTCCGAATAAATTCCAGCACGACGTCTGGAATCCAAGGAACTCCCCAGACAGCCCTCAGTCTGGTAGACGACAGCTCTGTCCCATTAGAATGGCAGGGTAAATACTGTGAATAATTTCTCCACACCCTGTTTTTAGCCCGATGCCACAGATATCAAAACGGGATACCTGTCGATTATAATGGATCCAGAGGAAATGCCTCTTGACGAGCAGTGTGACCGTCTTCCCTACGACAGCAGTAAATGGGAGTTCCCAAGAGACAGACTGCGGCTGGGTGAGTGGTTTGGGAATTACTGCTCCAGAGAACGATGACTTCTAATGCTCCTCAATTTCACCCATCTGTTGTATAACCCAAGAAGCAGCCCATCGTTTAGCGCCGGTGTGCTGCCGTCCTTGGGGAGAATCGGCAGTGAGTCGCCGAATTCAGGATCATCCTTAACGAGGGGTGAAACAGGGGATTTGGTGAGAAAAAGCAAAGATGATGTCTCTCTCAAAATAGCTACTACCTCTTTTTCTTTCTTGGAGAAGCGAAGTCAAACGCTTGACATGGAAGAAAGGTACCTCCAGGTACTGTCCCTGCCAACAGCATGGTTTCACACCCGGAGAGGAAAAGGGAATGAGAAGTCAGTCTGAAAGGTGACAGTCTTTCAGTGAATCTTATTTTGAAGAAATCTATCAATTCATCAAATAATCAGTTCCCTATCAATTATTTGAGCGTGGCGTTGAGTTGTAAAGAGCTATCACAAGAAAATGAACCAAATTTCATTCAACAGCTCGGCTCACTGGATGATGGAGCAAGAAAATGTAAAGAGCAGGTTGTGTTTGTAGAGAGAAACAGTAACATCTGTGTGCGATGATGAGAGCAGGGAATATAGCTCTATTTGCCTGTGCTCCTGGTGCTTTAGCTGGAAAACATGGAAGAAGGAGGAAGACACAAAAATAACAAAAAATGAGATGATGGTGGGACATAGGGTCAAAATAGCAGAACCCAAAAGCCAGACGATGATGCCCAGTGTACTCTGCCTCGTTGCGGGTCAGATCCCTCAGAGAACACTAGGTAACACAGGCACGAAAATGCAAATGAAAGGGAAAACAAAGACTATAATCTTCAAATCCATTCATTATACTTTTTATGTCAAAGAAATGTCAATAACTGAAGGGTTAAGAGGTTCTGACTGTCTGAGAGCCTTAGCTGGCTATCTCCACGACTGACTCATGAGAGATCGGGGTTCCACGATTCTACGTTTAACCCAAACTCTGACTTTCCTGGGCTTCAGGACAACCGCACGTAATGGTTTTACCCTTGAGCCATATGTACGTATCCAGCCTTGCCTTCAGCTGAATCCAGATGTATTTGTTCTGCTCTGTTCTATCATGTCCTGTATTGCATTGAAGTCGTATGGATATAAATCATTCCATTTATATTCATATACTGCAAATACGTGATACAGGCTTCTGTTGACTCTCGGTCTACGTTGTGGCTGGGCACTGGAGTCTTGTACTTCTTGCATAGCTGAGGATGCATGTTTCCCTCTTAGCTGATGCCGACTGTCGTGAAGTCCCCTTTGGCTCACTCTTGACTCTTGCTTCTCTAGGTAAAACACTGGGTCATGGTGCTTTTGGGAAGGTGGTGGAGGCGTCTGCATTTGGCATTGATAAGTCTTCAACCTGCAAAACAGTTGCTGTAAAAATGCTTAAAGGTACATATCCCTCTGAGATTCTCACAAGACTCCTCAGGGAACCTGTGGGCAATGAGGTTTCCAGTTCTCAGCTCCAAACCAGTCCCAAGTTCATTGTGTTCAGAAGGGAGTGGGTTTGTCATATGGGACCAATTAGTCGTTACACAGTGGATGTTAACGTGTACGAAATGACAAGCAGGCTCCATGCTGTGCTGCTGATTAAGTCTTGTATTCCTAAAGGAGGAAAACAGCAGCTTCCAGGTCTGTGGGGTTAGGAGGGAAACAGATTACAGAATGTAATTACATTAGATAGTCTGAAATTGGATCTGAGCCTTCCATCACAGCCCTTCCAGATGTAGAACAGTTCAAGGGGTTGAAAAAAAAGCAATGCCAAGGGAGTGAATTAGAGTCAGCTTGCTTGCAATTATTGAAATTAAGGACAGCTTTTACCCTTCAGTGGTGGGGAAGGGGGAACTTGGAGACTATTCTTTCATACTGTATTTACGTACAAAGCCTCTGCAGACAGCTTATGAGTAAATGCATCAGCCAGCACATCCACTGCTTGGGCTGGAGGTTCTCAACTGTTCACTTAGGATTTTTTCAAAGGTACAGTCGATGCTCACTGGATGGCTTTTCATAGCCCACACTGCTCTGCATTGCTGCTGCATGACAGTATTAACCCCTGCAATGCCACGATTCAGGAACTTCTATCACGGTATTTGGCTTCTGTTGCTAGTTGCTTCTCCTGATGCTCTGCTGCTTCCCATCTCTCTGGAATTTCAAAATCATCAGTTTATCACCTGTCTGGACCTCCTCCAAATCTGGTCTCCCTTCTCTGCATCAGTCAGTAGATCTTCAGATCATCTTCTCTCCTGCTGTTTTTTCTTCTGTTCCATGCCCATCTCCAGATCTCTGAAATATCCTAGAAGCCCCTGATCCAGACATATTCCCTTCTCCATCCAAAGTTTACTGCCCTGGATAGCTCTGGGTTTCCATTCACTTCCACGCTGTGCTTCCCAGCTGATCCTCATGTCAACTCTACCCTGCCTGCACATATCCAGCAAACTATTTGACAGTTCCTCCATCATTTTACCCCTTCCTCCCCCAGTGGAGGCAGCAGCCTCCTGCTCTGACCTCTCCCTTCCCAACTAACATGCCCATAATTCATCATGTTCCTGAATAAAGCAGATTCTCTAGTGTGAATCAATACATTTGAGGGGGAAAAAAAAAGAAAAAAGCTCTGGAGATGTCTGCATTACTGTCATTCTAGTATTATCTGTTATTTCCATGAAGTAGGCTGGTGAACTTAATGTGTAAGATTATCTGCTACATTTCCGAGGCTGTTCTGTTTAGATTTTGACAGGCATGTGTTCCAGCTCATGCCAGGGTCAATCAGGAGTAATGCCACCCATCTAGACACCCATCTACAAAGTGTTGACTGAAATCTTGGGCTCGGAATAGCTCCTTCTTTATGACACCATTTGGTGAAAGATTTGTTTATGGAGAATTCCACAAACAGATAAAGACATTACATTTGTCACACCAAATGATCTGTTGTGGAACTGTTTCTTCATATTTAAATCTTACATGATGCAAAGGCAAAAACAGAGGAAACGGGACGCAGCCTCTTTTGTTAAAATCCATCGTGAAAGTTTTGGAAAGAAGGCAGAGGAAACAACGTTCTGGTCTAAGAGTGCCTTCCTTAGCTTTGGCAGCGAAAGAGAACAAAAGCACAGTGTAACTGGCCAGATGGTGCTTCAAGTGTCAAGTTCATGGGTCACACACAAACATGGTCCCCTCTGCTTTGCTGGAAAATGTATTTCTCGGGTCGATGCGATCTCACAGGGCTGGAATTTCGTAATGCTGTACATTCTCCAGTACATTTTGGGACCCAACGTACAGATTTGTTAGATTCCTCCATCACCTGCAGCGAAGAGTTGCTCAGTACTGTGGAAAAATATATTCTGAGGTATTGTAAAGAAGTACAACTAAACTGCACATCACCATTATAGACTGAGGAGCACGTTCTGTGCGCTCTTGTTGGTTGGAGTGGGTGGCTGATCCTTTGTTAAGCTTGAAAACTCGGTCCTTGCAAAGGCTCTCTGGTATCTGACTGGGGGAGGCTTCTCCTACAGGACAGTAACCCTCCATAACCCATGCTAGAGAAAGGAAGAGTCACCCAAAAGATAAAGTGTTATTCCACTTCATAAAGGTCAACAGACAATGAAACGGATGAATTATTATCTGTTTAAGAGCCTGAAAAGCAAAGATACTGCAAGTAACCTGAGTGGGTTTTGTTTCCAAGTATAAACAGGATCTTGCTGTGTCCTGTTAAAAATATCCTGGTGTGTAAAGATGATTTTTTTCCTGTTTATCTTAAGCAGAATGTGCAACTACTAATGAATGCAAGGCTTTAATGTCTGAACTGAAGATCCTCATCCATATTGGACATCACCTGAATGTAGTCAACCTGCTGGGAGCCTGCACCAAAGCTGGAGGTGAGAAGTCCTCAGTAAATAAGAAGAGACACTTTTCAGAATCTCTGGTGGAGTCCAAGTCTCGTGCACATGAAGTTAATGCAAGCACAAATGTTTCTACCTCTCTGCTCAGAGGACAGCTTCTACTACTGCAGAATATGGCCACATCTCATCAATGGTCTCTTAATATCTTCTCCAGCCAGTGGTGTCACTTCACTATTTTCTTTTTCTCTGTCCTTTGTAAGCTTGTTTACAACAGGGATTATGGACTGAAGGGAGGCAGGATCCTTAACTGCAATTAGTCCTCCACATCAGCACTACTGATCATTTCAAAGGTTCTTCTCCCTCTTCTTCCCTGCCTTATCAGGAGGATGCACCAGGCTGAGCACTTAGCTACTTGAGGCCTCCTCCTTTCCCAAGCACTCCACTCTTGCTGGGCAAACACAGGCATTTTTTGGGTAGCCTGAAGCAGTCCGAAGCTGAATGGAGCAACAGCATGGACTTCCAGGGGCTGAGCTGACACAACTGGCTGTACATCATACAAAAAATCTGTTGCAAAGCGCAGACTTAAACAAAGGACTCCATAAATCTTAGACCTTTGTCACTAAAACACCCCCTCCCATACTGCCATACAAAGCATCCTTGTCTGTTACTCTGTTGTGCGTTAACTTCAGGGTAACAACGCTCAGATGCCTCCTTCTTGCTTACAAGGAACCTTCAAAACAATCCCCAAAGGGCAGACTTAGGAGGGCTGAAGACAAAGAAACCAGAGTAAAATAAATGAAGGGGAAAGAGCGAGAGAGATGGTGCACACATCTGTTGTCACCTGAGACTGCAAAACTATTGATTGCCCAAAGAACATGTAGCTGTCCAGTCACAGGGGAAAAAAGAAAACTCCAAGTGAGGTAGATCTAGTAGAATGCCAGGAAAGAAATCCTCCCTCCAGCAAGATACTCCCAGTTCCTCAAGGAGCCGTCAGCACCCACAGATACTGCTGCAATGTGGGAATTGCTGCAGCACTGCAGACCCCAAGAGCTGCTCTGGGAGGAGGGCAGCTTTGGCTGGGGGGGTGAGATTCAGAGGCACAAGCAAGTGGCCTTTGCCTGGGGCTGTGAGCAGAGGGGAAGCAACATTCTGAAAGCTGGTGCCTCCCCTCTCCTGTCCAGTCAATGAGGTGGACAACACAAAGAGGTGCCTGACACACGGCAGCATTACCAAGGGCTCCATAGTTTTTAACCAAAGCACTAACTCGGCCACAGAGTTCTAGCTGCACAGCAAGACACATCTCAGTAATCAATCAGATCAAACACTGATTGTCCAGTCTCTGAGGAACAACTTCTCCTGACAGCCCCTCAGTTCCCCGTTCTCCAGCCTGCTCCATCCTGATTGCCTTCCTGGGTGAAGAGGTAACCCTCCCTCTTCCCTGCTGACTCTGGGGAGCAGAGGACGGAGCAGAGCGGTGCAGCACCCTTGCAGGGTGCTGAGGAGCCTCCGGGCAGGTGCTGGTTTGTTTAGCTGTGAGCAACACAACTGCAGACTAAAGAAAAACAGCCTGGAGCTCTGGAGACAGACACTGGGATAAGAGTTGCTATTAAAATGCCATTGCAGAACGTGGTGCTTTCTCCTTCCTTGCTAGGTTTTACGTAACCGTGTAACAGCATACCTGACTAAGACTGATATTAAGTATGCACATATATTTCTGTAACAATCTCACGAATAGCAAATTTTAACACCTTGGCTGAGCATCTGATGTGAAGCAGTGAGAACTAATGCATAGTAGATGCTTTACAATGAGGAAATAAAATGCAGAGAGGCTCTAGGAAGCATTTCGAAAACATGAATAAATCACTAACTGGAGCTTTAGAGATGTACCAGAATCTGCATTTCCTCAGGGCATCCATGAGGGACATTGGACTTTAGGTTCTTCAGAACAACGTCCCACAGAGTTCCCTTGTGCACTGCCAGATCACGGCGCTGCTGCCTTTAAGCCCAGCAGCAGAACCACCAACAGCTCTGATTTTGGGTCAGCTGTGGTTCTGCAGTCACTGGTACAGCGTGCTCAGGTCCTGAGCACATCACAACTGTGGGTCTGCAGTCACTGGTACAGCGTGCTCAGGTCCTGAGCACATCACAGCTGTAGTCAACAGGAACTGGGAGCTCTGAACAGCCCAGAGGTGTGTATTCAGCCTAGCTGTGCCACAGGTCTTGCACAAATAAAAAGCTTGGCAGAAATACGCGATGCAATTATCAGCAAGCTATTGGTTATTATTGCTGGAATTCACCATCTCCCTCTTCATGAGATGATCTGCTTCCAAACAGTACTCCTCAGTCTCAGCCAAGGTGCAGCAACCAGAATCCCTAAGGTTCACTCTTCCCTCCCGGACCCCCTGCTCTCCGTAGAGCCCTGCTCTCCGCCTTGTCGGTCCGTACCGTGCGTGTCGGACCGGACCACGGGGCCAGATCGCTGCACAGCCTGTACGTGATTTCGGATACAGCACATCCACGTGCTGCCCAGAGCCACCTCCTTCCCGAGTGGCCAAGTGCAGCTCTCAGCACTTTGAAGGTCAAATTCCTAAATCTGGACCTTCTAGACAGAAAAAGGTTTCTGGACGTGAAAGTCTAGTTGCTTAGGACTGACAACAATACGTATTTAAGTGCATTCTAAGTCCCCTGATTTCACCTTTTATCTTACATTTGATGATTTTAAAAAGCAGTAATTATGCTAAAGGTAGGGAATGTAGCTTTTCCCTTTCCTAACAGCGCACACTGAAACATAAAAGCATTTTCAAGCAGATCTTAAAAAGATCCATAATTGTATAAAAGCAGCAATTGCACTGAACTCTGCAGTGGTTTGCACGGAAATAAGAAAGGAAAAAATTGATAGGACTTTCCAGGCCTTCAAAAACTTTTGACTAAATATTTTTGCAACTTTTGATTTAGAGCTGACTACGATCCTGCATACTTTTATTGCCTCTAGTGGCACCAGTTCCACCCAAACCAAACAACTGTGAAGGCAGAAGAGAAAAATGAAGACTGCTCCATCCTACGGATCTATGTAGAGAGTAAAACAACCTTAACAGCATATGGGATTTTATATTCCTATTTCTGATTCTGAATCTTCCTTTGTTTATAAATAAGAAACAAGGACCAACTGTTGCCATCTAATGGGGAAAACTAAGAATCAGTACCATATTCCTTTCTTTCCATATCCACCATGGATTCAGTGCTTGTGGAGAGTCACTTCTCTGTTTCCTAATTTCCTCATCTGTATAGTAGCAATGACAGTATTTACTTATTTTGAACAGGATTTGTGAGGATAAGATAGTATTAAATGCTTTTCAGTTCTTCAAAACTCATTTGATTTTCACTGTCTTTTTAGGTCCTTTAATGGTCATAGTAGAATATTGCAAATATGGAAATCTGTCCAACTATCTAAGAGGAAAACGAGGAGATTTTATTGCATACAAGGTAAAAAAAAAAAAAATTAAAAGCTTCTCATAGTTACAAGGCAGAAAATTAACAACCACTTACCACAAGTTGGATTTTTTTTCTGCATTGGCACTGAGACAGTTTGGTATTTATATAGGTGCTTTATTTTCTCACCACGTTTCAATTTGTATGAGTAAGAGCAGGAAACTTTATTCCCTATAGATCCTACAGATCCTCTTCTTTTCTAGCACCTACTAAAGAATACCCCAGCACTCCAGCGCATTTGCGAGAGGGAATTACTCGTGAGACACTACTCAGCACAAGGGGGGCAACACAGTAGTAGTAAAAAAACAGTATTAACTGAACCAGGAGAAGGTAAACCCTCCCCCAAAATACAAGCCCAGTTTTGGGATTTTTGTTTCCAGGCCCACCCCACCAGCTACCAAAAGCAGCTCACGCTTCCATCATCTGCTCATTCCCATCTTCTGTGTTCTCCCTTCCCCTGTGCCTACCTAAAAGTTTGTGCTGTATGCAGCCAACTGGACCACGAACACAGTGTCCATTAAAACCAACCGAATGGTTTTGGTTTTCAAGCCCTTGTCTGCATCCACACAAACGTTTGTCCCAGCACAAATTGGGCTGGGATATGGGGGAAGGCATAGGAGGCCAGAAATCAGCAATGGGGAGAGAGGACAGGACTATCTTCTCATTGTGAAAATACAGCACTAAAAGGGCCCTCCGATCTAAGCCCTGCCAGAAACTGGAGCCTCCCCAAGATTATTTTCCTGGATTATTCTATAATAATAATAATAATAATAATAATAAT